TCTAGGTTGTTTTGTTAGTTGGATTTTATTATTTATTTATAATTTTGTATTTTTCTCAAATCTTTCAGCTCAGATGAGAACCAATGGCTTAAATATGCTTTTTGCTGTTCTTGGATCTATTCTAGAAAACAATGCTCAGATGTTTGTTTTATTAACACATAGAACACATTGTCTTGCCTAGAGCAAATAAACGAGTTTAAAGCCAAAATAAATTTTTGGCTTACTACACCTACTTTGTATTACCACAAGGTGGCACTATTTTTAAAGCAGAATCATAGAATGAAAATGATAGTACATTTAAATTGAGTGGACAGGGTTTGACATTTAATACAGATAAATATAATTAGGGAGTCCATTCTGTACGGCTCAATAAGAAACCACTATTAATCTGCTTATTACAGTTTTTCAAGCCATTTTTGTTGTGGCACAATCACAGAAATACACAAAAAAAAAATGAGTGAGGAAATAAGGTGGCATATATACGACAAAGCAAATTGTGGATTCATTCACACACATACATACCTGGAGGTTCTGGGGTTTGTCAGACAGGGGATTTTTGTTGCTGTGGCGTTTCTTTTTCTTAAGGCCATGGTTAAAGTTCGGTGGGGCCTTTTTGGGTGGTGCTGTAGGGGCCCCGGTGTCCTGACCCAGGGGCCCTGGCACAGGTTCGGGCTCCTCCACCACGTCCATCATCAGCATGCTCTCAGTGTCCTCCTCGCCCATAGTGTCCAATGAGAAAACTACATATACACAAGTTAAAAACAACTGTCTTGTCACACTGATGCAGCCCTGATTTGACAAATATTAGTGTAATCAAATTTAAGCATCCTTTAACAAGGAACTTACAGTACATGTGTTTATGAAGGGAAGCTAGAATGTTAGCAGACTGACCTGTAACTGTGTCCAGCTCCACTGGCGTGTGCTGGGCTTCTGGCTGTGGAGGAGGCTGGAAGATGGGAGCCATGCCTGGAGGAGGGATGTAAGAAACCTGCAGGGTTACTGTGGCCTGAAAGAGAGAACACAGATTGAAGATCTGAAACGATGCAACAACAATGTAAAAATATGCAACAAAAATCTACTTCCAGAATAAAACTCACAGTTGCACAGCTGATTTCAAAATTGATAATAATGAGAAATGTTTCTTGAGCAGCAAATCAGCATATTAGAATGATTTCTGAAGGATCATGTGACACTGAAGACTGATGGCGTTACAGTAATTAAATTATACTTCAAAATAATACTGTTTACTGTATATTTGATCTGTATTTTGTATTTTTACCTTACTTAACTCTGAAGATGTTAAGCACCTAATCAGGCTTTTTCTTTCTGTTGCAAGTATACCTGTTTTATTACCCTTTTTCCCCCTTTGTAGAGTTTTTTATTTGTGTAACATTGCTAAATTAAATGTGAAATTGCTTTAAAAATACTTGATTTATTTTGAAATTACCATCAAAGTTCAGAGTGAAGAGCTTTTTTGGGAAGGGTGGGACAGAAAAGTTGCATGCTGGAGTTGTTTTTGAGATTAGACCGGCGTCAGGGTGATACCTTATAACGTACTTTCCGGAAATCAGCTATATTTCAAGAGCAGACGGATGCAAAGGAGCTAAGTAAACCAACTCCACCTTTCCCTCTCCATCACCCAACGTCAACCTACACGCATACATACCCACACACAATGCCAGGAAGTGGCACTCTGTGTCGTGTAAGACATAGCCTTGTAGTATTTCTTCAAAATGTCTTTCTTAAATTACATGTAAGACAAGGATGACGTGAATTTTTGATGGAAAATATTCTTTTCACTATGGATACTGGGGAAGTACAGACTGTAGTAGACATGCAGGTGGGATGTTGCCACCAACAGTAAAGGTCCAGGCTGTATGTTGTTCAATCAGTGAGTGTGAAAATAAATTTGATAGACGGTGAGAAACAGATCAAACGCACCCCTGTGCTGTTTCTTTTGGTGTCTACCAGGGACACAGTGAAAGTAGCAGCCAGGTTGGGAGAGTTGAGCACATCTCGAAGAGCGACCCGACACTCCCCCAGAAACCTGTAAAGATACACAAAAGGCTATTTAACAACTGTCATGCTATTTAAAGATGAGGATTAATGCCAAGAAATTAAAAATACACACAGACATGCTGTTACTAAGCTAAACAATTGTGACACATGACTATGCATCTGACCCTGAATGACAGATTTTTCACTCTCTGGCAAGCTTTTCTAAAAATTGCTGTTCTTCTGTTTCATTCTTAGGCTCAGATAAGGTTTGAAAGGAAAGAGGAAACATGGCAAACCACCCTTGCTCACTTCCTGTGGGCATTCCCCTCTTCCTTCCTTTCTTTCCCTCCTCTCACATTACTTTATTCCTTTATTATACTGATAATATTTCACCCAATATTCAAGTGTGTTAAGCTAATATAGCATTTACTGACTCTATGTTCATCTTTGTTATTTATTTGTGTGTTTATTCGACTAGTAAACACACAAAACATAAGAAGATAACGCAATGTTTTGGCATGAAGATTATTGGTACTGATGCAAAAAAAAGTTATGATTTAGTCCATTAAAATATCATTTTTTGTCAAATAAATGGTTCACTACAGAAATTCAGACTTCACTACAATGCTTTTATTAACAAAGATGCTTTAAATGGATCAGAAGTGATAGTTAACACATTTATAATGTGACAAAAGATTTCCATTTCAAATAAATGCTGTTCTACAGAATGTTCTTTTAAATCAAAGAAACCTGAAAAAAAAAATGTATCACGGTTTCCACCAACATATTAAGCAGCAAAACTCATTTTCAACATTGATAATATTAAGAAAAAATTCTTGAGCACCAAATTAGCATATTATAATAATTTCTGAATGATCATGTGACACTGAAGACTGTAACAGCTGCTTAATATTCAGCTTTGCCAACATAGGAATAAATTACAATTCAAATTACATTAAAATAGAATTCATTTATTTAAAAAAAAATCAATTTATCAATTAAACGCAGCCTTGATGAGCAAGAACATTTAAAAAAAAACTTACCAATCCCAAACATGCAGGTAGACAGTCACTTATTATACGAGCATGTATGACTTTCTATTGCTTAGAAACGAAAAATGTAAATGTGTCAGAGTGGGATGCTGTATTGAAGCAATTTAATATAAATACTAATGTGATAAACATGGGATAATGGATTTTTAAAAACTATCTGAATTTAAAAACTTTAAATTAAAATTAAGTTGACATTTACTACTGTTATAGGTGAACAAAATGACCTAAAAGCACATTTAGTGTGTTCTATATATGTTCTCTAATTTCTTGGAGATTAGATAAAGCGAAAGGCCAGTAAGGAACCACTATTGGTCATAATGAGAATATGGGAACGCACAGCAAATGAAGTGGATGTTTTAAACAATGGTGCATTCCATAAATTCTACAGCTCTCCCAACTGAATTGCTGAGCAATTGTTTCATGTCGGCAGAGGAGCTGCTTTTGCATAATATTCTGAGGGACACATGCACTCTTATGAACAGAAAGAGAAACCTGTACATACAATTGTCGATTTGTATATTTTTATTCCTTATTTACTTTATTTTTAATTTATTTTTATTTAACTTATTTTTCTATTATCTGTTTTTTTGTTCTGTCACTGTCATTCTGTTACACTGTGGAAGCTTCTGTCACGAAAACAAATTCCTCGTATGTGTAAACATACCTGGCAATAAAGCTCATTCTGATTCTGATTCATTCTGATTCTGAAACTGAGATGAGAATTACAAAATAGAGAAAATGGCCTTACCTATTTCTGCCCATTTTTTCATGGTCCTTGACCACAACATGAAGCTCTGCTCCAGAATCTAAAGGAACACCCTTCAAGTCCCACTCAAAACCCTGGGAGAAAGAAAAGAGAATGATGAAACCGAATCATGTATTGGCAAAACGTTTATACATTTCATTATAGTAACAGTAGTGGTTAATTCATATTTGTGAGTTAGATGTAAGAAGCAATTCACCAACCTCATTCCAGACAGGATTGACATTATTTTTGATGACTTTGGTCTTCTTTTTTGTCCCTACAAGAAAAGAGAGAATACAGTTAGTGTGTTTGTCATTGAGTTTTCCATGAGGTATACACTAATGTTTAAACGTTTGAGGTCAGTAAGATTTTTTGCAAGCAAATTAACACTTTTATTCCGCGAGAATGTATTAAATTGTTCAATGGTGTTATGTAGGTCTAGTGTACGGTTAGTTACAAAAACATGATTAACTTTATTTACATTTAAATGCTTTCCAGACATGTTCAAAAGTAGATCTAGATGCAAGGTTGTAGACAATGAAGATGAAAATTCATTTAATCAAAAGCCTCGTTGTTCAAATTTGGAAAAAAAGAAAAGAAAAATAGAAACATATGATCAGAACAGGGCATACGAGGACAGTGTGTCTGACGTAATATTCTACAGTGGCTGGCCTCCAGTAAATCCATGATGAAAATGTTTTCAGTGAGAGGAAGATGGACAATGGGTACTAACTTCCACCTGACAAATACAGATGAAAGATTTCCACAGGGACACAGATTAGGCTTGACATTGAGCCTGTACTGGTAAAGGACAATTTACAGCTGATCTAATGAGCAGACACATATTTTTCAAGGTGTTTTTAGACCTTGCGCTACAAACAGTAGTCGCATGCACAAACAAGTAAGCTACCAATAGCATGGTGTATCCATTCAAATCACCACTGGTCTGTCACGCTATAGAGTGTTTCAGGAAGGAGCTCTGTTTATCTTCCTGTTTTGGTTGTAGATGTCAAGAGGCGTGAATAAAGCAAAAACAAGCTCCTTTGTCACATATAGGCCTACACTCAGTGGCATTGTGGGAAAACCCTCTTTGCCTGCCTGAAATAGACCTGGAGCCTGAAAACCTTTGCACAAGCCAGAAGAGGACAACAAAAGATGGAGGATAAATGACATCCTCCACCAGAATGTGACGGAAACTGGCTGGAATGTTCTTAACCGTGACCCTCAAAGTCCTGGGCTTTATTTAGGGTGCATTTCAAAACACATCAGATTGCAGTCGATGGGTGGATACAACTTGAGAAACAGCCAGGAAACCGTAGCTTTGATAAGTACGAGTTAAAAATAACAAGACTGAGATCCTAGAGTTTCAGGCCCAGTCCAAATACATGCATTCAGTTTGCATTAAGCATAAACTGGATCCGTGTCTCATCTCTAAATACAGATACTGATTCGGTTTTGCCAAAACAGACTGAACAGAATTGTTGGTTGTCAGCAATACTAACAGTCCACCTTTCTCTGTCAATACCTTTCAAATGAAAAACACTTGCCATCTGCACATAGTCAGTCAAATTCTCATGCTGTATCTCTCTCTCTTGCAAAGTCTGCATGTATTATTGCTTACTCAGAGCTCAAACTAAGGACTCTGGCAGTTGGACTGG